GTGCCCCTACCCCCGCTGCCCTCGCCGACCTCGGCTGTCGCGGCCCAGCCCCGGCTTCCTCCCCCTACCCTGTCCCCCTCGTCCTCCTCCTCCCCTCTGCCTCCTCCCCGCTGCGTCCTCCTCCTCCTCCTCCTCCTCCTCCTCCTCCTCCTCCTCACCACCACCACCACCATTATCATCATCATCATCATCATCATCATCATCATCATGCTTCTTCTTATCCCCATCGCGCCCGCTGATTGCAGTCGTCTGCAGCTTCTCGGCCCGAGCTTGCCCCGCTTCGGCCCCCGCCGCCCCTCCCGCGCCCGCGCGACCAGGGGCGCCGGGAGCCTGCGCCGGCCCCCGCTGCTCAGGTGTCCATCGACTTCTACGCGGCGGCGGCTTTCTTCTCGGACCACGCGTGGGCCGCCGCCCAAGGCGGTGGTCCACTCTCCCCCCTCGAGCGCGGTATTGCACGGGGCCCACTTTCCCGTCAATCCGTTCTCGTGTGGGGCGAGCCCGACTGCGCCGAGCAGCCAGTCGGTGACGGCACGGGGTTGCCTCCCTGTTCGGGTTGGCTCGCGCCACTCCTTCCTGCACGCCGTTTGCCTGCAGGCGGGGCGCTCGCGCGCCCCTCAGGCCACCTGTCCTACAGGCGCCTGTCGCCAACGGCCTCCTGGCCCATGGCGTCCGCGGCTGCACCCCCAGCTTTCCGCGGTACCGACCCGCCGCGCTGGTGCCCCCCGACGGGCCCGCCGCCTCCTCTGCAGCAAAACCTTCCTCCTCCTCCCCCTCCTTTCTCCCGCCATTCTTCCCCTTCTTCCTCTGGGGTGGCGGGGTTGGAGACTCATGGGAGGACCGGAGGAAGGAGAGGTGGAGCTTGCACGCCATGTGCTGCGGCACCTGATCAGTCCAATGTCTCACGAGGTGCTCCGGCGCACAGCTCCTTCGCCCGCCTCCCGATGGCCCCAGACGGCGCACTGTCTCTGCCTGCCAGTCGTGCCGCCAGCGAAGCCACTGCCGATGAGAGCATCCCTCAGAGCCGCCCGTCAGAGGGCACAGGCGCCAACGGTGCGAAGACAACCGCGCTATGGGTGGAGGAGCCGGAGTTGGTGGACCCTTCTAACCTCCACCTCCTCGCTACTCCTTCTCCTCCCCTCGCCGCCTCGCCCTGGCTCAACCTTGATGCTTGGCGGAGCAGCCCTCGTGCGGACACCTGTGGCTTCGAGGTCGCTGAAGGCTTTTCCTGTCCCGCGGGGTGGGGCGCCGGCGGCGCTACGACGATTCCGCCCTATCCTGGCTGGGACGCTCCAGCGCGCGAGCCGCCCGACTTGCCTGGGCTGGCGAGTACGGTGCAACGCCCCCGCCCGCCTCCAGGGCTGGATCCTCCACCGCTTTCCATGAGCTTGCAGGCGGACTCGCCGCCAGGCTTCGCTGGGCTGGAGGGCGCCCCGCTCGCGATGGGGCCGTTCCCCACTCTCGCTGACGTGGAGGCTGGTGCTCGCGTGCCCCCGTCAAATTCCATGATCGCCATCGCTCCGACATATGGGGTTCACCTGTCAGGAGGTGCCAACTCGCAGTGGACTTTCATCGAGAAGCACGTTTCGCACCCTCTGGTGCGCACTTCCTTTCTGCCGCCGATGCACGCGTGGGACCCGCACACGGGCTCCGACATTCAGAGCGTGGCTCCGCCACCAGGCTTCGCCGGCTTGGAAGCTGGCGCACGGGTGCCGCCTTTGGTCGACTCCCGCGCGTCCGATGCAGCGGGTGGGGGTCCGTGGCTTAGCGGCGAGCGTCTGCCGTGCACCGGGTCGTCGCCACTGCCGTTTTGGCGCCCCACGGCCGCCGTCGGTGACCGCGCGGCTGGCGGAGCCGCCGTGAGTGCGGAGTCGCCTCCTGTCGGTGGTGGCTCGCCTTCCCACGTCGGGCGGGTTGGGCCGCCGCCGGGCCTCGCCGACCCACAGGCGGGAGTTCATGCGCACCCGTCTCTCCACCCTAGCAATGTTCGCCCGGCCTCTTTGACTGCACAACCGAACCTGGAGTCCGCCGCCGTGGCGCCGCCGTCGACGCACGTCTGCGCGACCGCTGCCTTGGTTGGGACTCCGGCGCTTGTCAGCAGTATTCACCTGGTCGCTACGCCAGGCGGTACCTCGACGGCTCGGTGTCACCAGCGACATTTCGCAGACGCTCGGTCTAAGCGGGGGTCCATCCACGCCCCCGATGGGCCCGCCGCGCCACGATGTGGCGGTTGCACTGGAGCCAGGCGCCACCGCTGGTGCATCCTGGGCGGCCCGCGCAGCGGTTGCTCGCGAGTCATCCTCGACGCCCCCCCTGCTGCCACGATGGGGGTCGGTGGGCGGGGGGTCGCTTCGAGCGCTTCGGACGCGGATTCTGCTCCCAGACGCGCCACTGGCGGGCCCCCAGCGATGTTCGGGGGACCCCCTGCTGTGCACGCAGTCTCGCTTGCGAGCAGTCCCACCACAGCGAGGGCGCCCACTGCCATCGGTAGCGTGGTGGACGCGCCAGAAACGCCCGTCCGCAGTGCCTCGACCGAAGCTGCGATCCCCACGCCTCGGGGCGCTTGCACTCGGAACGCAGCGGGCACTCAAGCAGCGGGATCACCTCCAGGCCTCATCGGCCCCGCCGCGGGCTCCTCGGGTGAAGGCGTCGCCGCAGCCGCTGCCATTGCAGCGAGGCCCCGACGCTTCTCGTGCAATCGGATCCAGGGCCCCGTCGCGTCGATCCCTGCCCGCGCTCGCGAGCGCCTGCTGGCCGACCCTCGTGGTCTGAGCCCCTCTCCGTCCCCACTGGTAGGCATGCGCCCCTCCAGCGATGCTGTTGCGGCCCCGCAGGGAGGGGTTCGTGCCGCCGGTGGAATGTCAGGAGCGGGCTCGCCCGCGGCGGACACGACGCCCCGCGATGCGGTCCCTGCGCTCCGCTCTGGTCGAGGAGTCGCTTTCGCCGCGGGCTCCTCGGATGAATGCGTCGCCGCAGCCACTGCCACTATAGCGCGGCCCCGTCGCCGCTCGGCCTCCACCAACAGCAACCCCGCACTCCCCGCCTTCAGGCTCCGACGTGTTCGTAGGGTCCGCACTCGGCGTGGAGGACGGCGGGGTCGTGGGGCCGCCGATGGTAGCTGCTGTACAGCTCACGCTCCAGCCCATGCTGGTGCGACTGCCTCGTCTACGGACGCCCTCGTCGGTGCTTCAGAGGCCGCTTCTGGGGCCCGTGCTCCAGGGAGCCGCAGTTCGCTGGTGCAGGTGGCGGCGGGCCCTTGCCGCGCCGCTTCCGCCGGCTCCCAGGCCGCCGGCGATGCCGCCCTCCATGGCGGCGCATCCCAACACAGGGGTGGACGCACGCGCCCTGCGTGCCCTGGCCGAGGGCTCACGCAGCGGCGAGTCGCTGAAAGCGACGACGCTGCTGCTGCCAAGCGTGCCTGGGCTGAGCGAGGCCGTGAGAGTAGGCACGCGCTCCTCCAGCGATGCTGTTACGGCCCCGCAGGGAGGAGCTCGTGCCGCTGTCGCGACTCTCGCTCTACCCCCGGCTCCCCCTCAGGGCCGAGTGGCCAGTTTGGCCAGTTTCACCATGCTGCCGGAGTCCATGCCGTCGGTGACTCAGACGCGCCGTCCTTCGGTTCTATCGGTTCTGGTGGCAGTGGGAAGCCCCTTCGAGGTGACCTGTCCTCAGGGGTCACAGCCGCTCCACAGGCCCCTCGATTTGACTTGTCCTCAGGGGCCGCTGCCAGTTCCGAACCCTCTCGCGTTGATTCGCCCGCAGGGGATTTAGACCCGAGGTCGTCTGCACCTGCCAGCACCACGCCATGCCATTCTGGTCGGTTTCACCGCGGTGCTGAGGCCCACGCTCCTGGGGCTTCAGCCCGTGCCAGCACGGGCATTGGCAGATCTGCGCCCTTCGTGGCCGATCTGTCCGCCTTGCTGCGCCTGTTCCCAGGCGCCAGCATCGACGTCACCCACTGGGCCGCTGCTCTTGCCCAGGTCGGGATGGGGACTCGATGCCCCCTTGCCGCTTTTACCCGCACTTCCCTCTGCGCGCCGGATTGGGACGACTCGTACCTGTCGGAGTCGGTTCCCCGCGATCCATGGCCGTGCCCTCCGTCGCCGCCTTTACCGCCGCCGCCTGGCCACCTGTCGGGTCGCGCGCGTGAGCGCTGGCGTGTGAGGCGCGCCGCCCGCACGTTGTCGCAGCATGCTGTTGTTGCGCTCAACTGGCTCACCCTGGGCCATCCGAGCTTCGCTCCCGCCGAAGCCAAAGTGCGGGCAACGGTCACACCCTGCCAGGAGGGTATCCGCAGTCGCCTCGAGCGTCTGTGTCGGATCGCAGTTCGCCTTGCCCGCGGCGGCAAGAGCGACCTTGGTCGAGCTTTCGCTAAGTTCGACTCTACCGAAGTCTCGCTCCATGGCCTGGCCACCCATGTCGCAGCTCTTGAGGCTTCTTTCACATCCTCTTCCCAAGTGCCCGCCCCCATGCGGCAACTTCCCGTCAGCGCGACGCCCTTGGCTAGCTCGTTGGCGGCCGCGGCAGGCTGGGACTCCACCCAGGCTGAGCCTTTCGACCTTCGGGTCCAGGCGTCCCGCATCAAGTGGGATTACTCGCCTACGTTTGATCCCACTCCGTACTTGTCCGACCTGGTACGTTCCGCCTTTCACGACCCCGACGTCATGCGGCTACCAGAGGACGAGTGGCCTTCGGGCTTTTCGGGTGCTCGTGTGCACATGGACCGCGAGCAGCTCTGGGAGCTCCTGCGCAAGTGGGACTCTTGTGGCGCCCTGTATCTGACTCCCTCCGACAACCTCGCCTGGGACGAGGCTTGTGGAGCGTTCAGGGTCCCGAAGGACGAGGCTTATGACCGTCTCATCCTGAACCCGACGGTAGTAAACAGTCGTTGCAACAGCGTGTCCTCCAGCACTCAACGCCTTGGCCAGGGTTTCCTTCTGTGCCGCCTGGGGCTCGCGCCCGGGGAATGGCTGGTGGTCTCATGCGACGACCTGCGCGAGTTCTAC